TCATGACTGATAATATTCTGATCTTCCGGAAGAAGACGTCGTGTGAGGTAATTAGATAGAGACAAGCATGCAGACGTCGTCAAACATTAGTGTGAGAGAAAGAGAGGGGGGATGCTCACCGGTCTCTGACATGTACGCGGGAGCGCGGGGCGTGAGGCGGTGAAGAGACTGCGCTGCCAGCACTCTCACAGGCTTGTCCCAGTGTCTGATCGTCACGGCAATGAGATGATCGATCAGCGCCCGCGTGTATTCGTCAAACTGCGCGATGTAGACGCTGAAAGCAACGACGACCGCGTTAGTTTGCGCTGCGCTCAGACGCACATCTCAACCACGAGAACACACGAAACACAAACGTACCGTATCATCGCTCGAGATAAACACACAGCCTAAGGCCACCATTTTTTATTTTGTTGGTTTACAGAATTTGTTGTTGTTGCTGACTCGGTAGGGTAAAAAAAAAATATATATAATTGTCGTTTTGTCAGATCAAACAAGTCAAAATACAGTGATACTGTTATACATGATATTAAAGTATTTTAAGAAACTAAATGAACTAAATGAACTAAATGAAAACAAAACTCAACTTGTAATTATTTTTACTTTTATTATAAACTGTTTGTTTATGAAATGTTTTTTTTACATTTAAATTTTGTTTATTCATATTTCTCAGAGAAAAGGTCGGCGGGAATAAAAAAATACAGATTTTCAATTTTTATTTTTTTTCGTTTTTCTTGAAAATTCGGGTCGGCGGATCGGTAAACCAACAAAATAAAAAATTCTCGCCTAAGTAAAATTGATCTTTAAATTTTTTTTTACATTTCAACCAGTGCAGATCGATACGCCACAATGTCCGCCTGCAGCGTCCGCATGCGTACCTACGGTACGCCTTTGAATTCATCATGCGCGTTTTTTCCCGCAATCTGATGGTAGCTAGGTATCTGATGGTAGGTATCTGATGGTAGGTATCTAATGGTAGGTATCTGATGGTAGGTATCTGATGGTAGGTATCTGATGGTAGGTATCTGATGGTAGGTATCTGATGGTAGGTATCTGATAGTAGGTATCTGATGGTAGGTATCTGATGGTATGTATCTGATGGTAGGTATCTGATGGTAGGTATCTGATGGTAGGTATCTGATGGTAGGTATCTGATGGTAGGTATCTGATGGTAGGTAT